CGGAGCCTACAATTACAAAGGATATATGGGATGCTGCCAAATAAACCTTCTTCAAAGCTCGGGATGCGGCTCAAATCTTTCAAATTAAAGTTAAAGTAGGAAGCACAAAACAAGGGAGCAAGACCGTACGGAGTATGTCACCCTTCTACAAAATCTATGGCAATAACTTGATCACGACAAATGCATAGAAACCAGATGCCCGAAAGATGCTGCGATTTTAAAAAACTTTATCAAAAAATATATAGTTTATGATTTTCTTGCAGGATTAAATGTAGAATTTGATCATGTTAGAGTCTAGATCCTCGACAAAAAGGAGACACCGTCACTTAATGAAACCATTTCTCTCATCCACGCGGAAGAAGGTCGACGAGGAGTGATGTTAGAAACAAAAGTCATTGAAATTTTAGCAATGGTGATGAACAGAGAATCGTCATGGAAGGAGAAAGGTAAAGATTCCTCAAAATTCAAAGACAGACTCATTTTGATGTAGTTATTGCAAGAAGTCAAAACACAAAGGAAACATGATGAAAAATACATGAAAAACCCCCAGTAAGGATTTGAATCAAAGAACTGAAACAAGGAGCACATCGCATGCCAACAAAATTACAAGTTAGCCCAAACCAGAAGCACAGTCCAGCCTTGGAAATCTCAATAAAGAATATATTGATAAACTAAAACAACTCCTGGTACCTCTTAAAAAATCAAATGCATCTTCTTCACTCACTCTCAAGTAAGTTTCATATTTCTATTAGTTTAAGTACCTCTAGAAATCATTTAAAGGAATTATGGATCATTGCCTTAGGAGCCACAAATCACATGACCCACTTACCTACCCACTTCATTAATTATACCCCTTGCCCAAGCAACAAGAAAATCATCACTGTTGATAGTTCTCTTACAACAATAACAGTCCAAGAAGACAACATTATCTCCTTCACTCCCCATAAAAAATATGCTCAACGTACCTCAATTATCCGCAAACCTAATATCAATGCAAAAACTTATTAATGATCATAATTGTCAAGCTTTATTTAACCATACTTCTTGCTTATTTTATGACCAGAGATCGGGAAAGAAGATTGAACTTGCTAAGAAGAAAGCTGGACTGTACTACCTGGAAAAACTAAACCAATTTAAAAAAATAAATGCTCTATGTTATCCCTAATTGATAAGAATTCCACTATTTGACTTCATCATTATAGGTTAGGACACCTATCTTTTGATGTCCTAAGACATGTACCCACAGCTTTTTCAAAAATGAAAAAATAAATATTTTCATTGTGAAACTTGTGAGTTAGCCAAGCATAAAAGAACTTTCCCAGATGAAAATGAGAGATGTGATATTCCTTTCTACCTTATTCATAGTGATATATAGGGACCCTAAATAATCACTAATATCTCTGGGCATGCTGGTTTGTATCATTCATGATAATTGCAATAGAGTCTCTTGGATCTATCTCCTCAAAAATAAATTCAATCTTAGCATCATTCTTCCCATTTTTCATATCATGATCCAAAATCAATTCGGAGTAAAAATAAGGAGATTTCGCTCTGATAATACTAAATACTATTTCAACAAAACCCTTTCCTCCTACTTCCAAAGTGAATGGATCATCCATGAGTCCTACGTTCAAACCCCACAACAAAATGGGGTGGGGTTGCAGAGAGAAAAAATGGTCACCTGCTAGCATCCACTTGAGCTTTTCTATTCCACTACAATACACCCAAATCTTTTTGGGGGGAAGCCCTCGAAACTACAACTTATCTCATAAACCGACTACCTTCAATAGCCCTAGGACTCAAAACTCTAATGGAGATTTTATCCTCATTTTACCCCGAGTTTCGAACCCATCATAACCTTATACCAAAAATCTTTAAATGCACTGCCTATGCTCATATTCATAGCCAAAATAGAGAAAAACTAGATCCAAGAGCATCTAAATGCATCTTTGTTGGCTATTCAACTACCCAAAAAGGTTACAAGTGTTATCATATACCTACAAGAAAAACCCTTATCTTTGTTAACGTTACCTTTGATGAAAAAAATTCTTATTTTTTTAAGCCTCATCTTTAGGAGGAGATTGAACTTGAGGAAGATGAGGAAATTGAACTAGCACCTTTTGACCTTCCTTCACCTTAAACCAATCCACCTGAAAACCAAAATAGGGAAACAAAACACAAAGCTATCATTAGATTTGAGAATGTTTACTCCAGGCGTACAAGTTCAGATTGTGCTCCAAAGCAGATCTAAGAATCTGAACCATCTACAAATAAGTTAAGCTCACCACCTCCCTTATACCCTATGACCAACTCTATATCCTTCAATAATTTTTCATCCTCACACAAAAATTTCTTGGTTAAACTATAAAATATCCATATTCCTAAAGATATTTCTAAAGGCCTTATCTGATAAAAATTGAAGAAAATGCCATGATAAATGAAATGCATGCCCTAGAAAAGAACAATACATGGGAGATCATTAATCTACCGATAGGAAAAAAATTAGCCTGTTGCAAATGGGAGTTCTCCGTAAAGTACAAAGATGATGGCACACTAGAAAGATACAAGGCAAGACTAGTGGCAAAAGGGTACACTCAAACATTTGGCATTGACTACCAAGAAACCTTTGAACATATAGCCAAGATGAATACTGTCAGAATACTAATCTCACTAGCAGTTGAGTACAAGTGGCATCTGGAATAATTGGATGCAAAAAAATGCATTCTCGCATGGGAATCTGGAAGAAGATATATTTATAGAACTACCACCAGGGTTTAAAAAAAAATTAAAGGAAATAGGGTGTGCAAATTAAAAAAAGCTCTATATGGACTCAAACTATCACCAAGGGTCTGGTTCAAAAGATTCTCAAAATATATGCTTTTTAATGGGTATAAACAAAGTCAAGAGGATCATACATTATTTTTTATACACTCAGACTCAGGAGGAGTCACAATATTATTAGTATATGCGGATGGTATTATCTTGACTAGAAAATAACGAAGAGGAGAAAGTTAGTTTAAGGAAAAGTCTTACCAAAGAATTTGACATTAAAGAACTTGATAGACTAAAATACTTTTCGGAATTGAAGTAGCCCACTCCAGCAAAAGAATATTCATTTCACAATAGAAATATATTAAAGATTTTCTAAAAGAAACTAGTAAATTAGCTTGTAAACTAACACCAACACCAGTAGAACCAAATCTTAAATTGGGTGAAGTAAAAGAAGATATAGATATAGATAAAGGGTTTTACTAGAGACTTGTAGGGAAATTGAAATACCTCTCCCACACCATACCAGATATAGCATTTAATGTAAACATGGTCAGTCAGTTTATGTAGAATCCAAAGCATGCTCATATGCAAGTGGTAGACATGATATTGCACTGCCTTAAAAAGGAAATACCAGGAAAGGGATTCTTTTTAGAAGAGATCTCGAAATAACCCTAGAAGCATACACGGATGTTGATTATGCGAAATCACTAGTAGATAGAGGATCTACCTCTGGATACTACACATTTCTTAGAGGAAACCTAGTTACATGGAGAAGCAAGAAACAAAATGTGATTGCAAGATTTAGTACGGAAGCAAAATATAGAGCTAGGGTCTTAAGAATATGTGAGTTATTGTGGATCAAGATGTTTTTAGAAGATCTAAGGATCAAGTGAAATGATCCCATGAAGCTACATATGACAACAAGTCAGCAATCAGCATAGCCCAAAATCCAGTCCAGTACGACAGGACCAAGCATATAAAAGTGGACAGACATTTCTTAAAAGAAAAATTAGACAATAGTCTAATATGTATCAACCATGTATATCATCAAAGGATCAACTTGTAGATATCCTTACCAAAGGGTAATGTTTTGATTTCTGTGATTCTTTTTTCACAGAAGTTGTTGAGTATCAAAAGCTCTCAACAGGGCAAAATGTTCCATCACGTTTTCACTCTGTCTTTCTCAGAATAATTGACAAGCTGGGAATGACAAATTCATAATCCCTAGCTTGAGGGGGAGTGTTAAAATCCTAGTTGTTCAACCTAAAAGAAATCCCACGGCCATAAAGCATGATCCATGGGAAGTTCTCAATCCCGCCATAATTACTCTCCCGATGATTTCTTTCCAATGTAGAGTTGCTGAATTAGGAAGGATCATATTGAGGCAATTACGTATCAATTTGAAGTTATTTGTTTCTTTGTTAAGACATCTTGTATAGATCTGTAAATAGGGATAGTTGTATGCAATAAAATTAAATTTTTCTCTCTTATTCCTCTCAAATTTTCATTTCTAACATGGTCCATTGACACTTTAAATAGGGACCAAATTAATTCTTCTGTGATATAATTTGGATCCCTACTTAGAATGTCAAGAGACTAAAATGAAATTTTCAAATAAATGGGGCCCATTTTAGTCCTTATCCGATTCAAATATTAACCAAAATCAAACAAGATTAGTTGTGCTCCACAATGCAAGGTTTGGCACACCATCCCTCTATCCTAATGGTGGAGCAGTCTCGCACTTGCATCCATTCTGTACAACAGTAAATTCCTTTTTAGCTCCACATCTTGAGATCTATATGAACTTCTGCCTGTGCACTTGAGTATCCTTTTCACAACAAGCAAAATATTTTGATTGAAAATATCAGAGCAGATGTCCACTCATGTTACAACAAGAGGCTTACTTGTTCTTTTAATGATCCATAAAGATTGTAAATGAGATGCTAATGAATGGTTTCTCAACTATACACGTTATTTTATTCATTCTTAAACCCTTTTGTGCATGTCTGCATGAATCTATATTTGTTGGTTAGGTGGTAGTTGCAGAGGGCTCCTTAGGGAACATCAGTCAGAACAAAGATTAGAATAAACAATGTCTCCTACAGTTTAATTAGGATTCTTCAAGAAATAAATGCAAAGTAGTAAAATAGTGTTTATTTATTCAGACTTATCATAAATAAGAATGTGGAAGTGGACTGACTAAAAAAATGAATAAAGACTTTTCTTACTTTTTCTTAATGTTATCAAATGAAGCCTTCCAGTTAACCCCAAGTACATCATATGGTTCGGCCGCCTCAGCAAATACAATTCGTGTGACCTGATAGGATCAAACGGAATGGCCAAAAAAGCATAAGTATATAATAAATGAACTAGAGCTTTTTCACAAATAAATCAATAAAAAACAATGTTAAACAACACTGTGAGGCAATAATAAACCGAAATAAAGCGTCCATCATAACTCCATTTTTAATATATTCACTTGGCTAAATAATTATGCTAATAACATTAAAAAAGGTCTAAAGAAAATTTCAAGCTTCACGCGAATAATATCAATGAAAAAACAATTGCCAATAAGTTTGACCTAAATTCCGTAATATGACAATTCACAATATTTTACTACATCCCCTTTTCTTGCATTTAATAAAATAGATGCAAAGTTAAAATGTTAGACAAATCTTCTTGAACTTTTTGGTTCTGAATGCATTTCTAGATATGTAATGTCCTAATGTGTTAATTTAGAGAGAGAAATTATTTGTAGAATTGAGTTTGAATATCGAACATCAAGACTTGAGGACTCATATGAGGCTTTCTACCAAATTCTGTGAGCAATTGGGCAGATTTGCAGGCTATAAATTGTTGGGGATTCTCAGAAAATCATCAATTAATCAATTATGGGGCTGACAAGCTCATTATGGGTTGTTGGGGTTAATTCTATGGGTATTTTGCCATTTGGGGAAGCCAAGTGATTGATAATTTAATCCTAGAGTTAATAAACTTATTCAAGGCTTTTGTTGATGATATTGGTCCCGAGGTTACCATCTAATGACTAAAGTGAATTATTGATCAATTACTTCGACAATCAACGTACCAAGATAAGCTCTATAGAGTAAAGACATCTATCAGTCATTTTGAAACAGTAGGAAAGTCCACGAACAATCTACAGCAGGTTAGTGTGTTACATTCAAGCTTTAGAAAAATGTAAGAAAATTAAAAATTAAAATTGTTGTATTAAATATTAATAATTTTGTTAACTAGTGCTTTGCCAATGAAACTTGAGTGCAGTATCATTTTGCTTCACATAGACAATTCCGACATGAATTTCTACTTTTTTTGGAGCCACCCTCTTACTTTTGCAAGTCTGGTTTGAGTTTAAACTACTCATTCCAATGTAAATGATTTAAGATTAGACAAAAGAAAATAAATGGGAGATAGCCGCCCATAATTCAAGCCTACCCAGATCAGGTGAGAAGCTGAGTTACCAATTTTTCCTTTTACTGATCAACTTGTACATTTAGAGCAATGTTGTTATTATCTGAGATCTAGACCCGTAAGTGGCCTGCATTGCAATGAAGACTTTGTGACCATATCTGAATTCGCATATTAATTATAAGACACGATCACGGCGACACGGATACGACATGACACGGACACGGTACATGTCAAAAATTGAAAATATAAGACACGGATACGGGTTGGATACGGTATTATAATTTTTATATTTTAAAAATAGTGTATAAAAATTGAATAAGTATAATTTAAAAAATAATTTAGAAATAATAAGTCATTTAATAGAATTTGTGCTTAAAATGATTAATATTAGGATGTCGAGAGTCGGGCGTTGGCGTCATTTATGAGTCATCGAGAGAGAAGATAACAATGCTGTCGAGAGTTGGGCATTGATGTTATGCAGTAAATATTGGGTGTCAATGTTAAGAGTGTTTATCATCAATGTTGAGAGGGAGTTGGTCATCGATGTTGAGATGTCAAGTTGTGGGTGTAGAATTTGTTAGTACTAAGCATCAATATAAAGACGGTTTCAGACTTTGATATGGATATCATTTTGAAATGTTGATGTTATAACGACGTCAGTCGTCAATGTTGAGATGACATCGGGCATTGTTGTGAAATCAAGATTGTAACCAGCCAAAAAGAAATGAAAATGAAAATATTCGATGAATTGGTATTAAGTGCGGGGAATAGATTTAGTGTTGTGGATATGAAATAAGAATTTTAGTTTTTATATTTTAAATAAGTAAAAATTTTAAATACAAGAAATTATATTTTTTAAAAATTATAAAATATTTAAGATAGGCGTGTCGGACACGCGTGTCCAATTTATATTTTATATTTTTTTAATCTAACACATTTTCGACGTGTCCGACACATGTTGGAGGAATGTTGAATGCGTGTCGTGTAGGATACGTGTCGGACGCTGCACGCCTCTTTGAGGAGAAGTGTCGGTGCATCATAGATTATAAGCATACTATTTCATCATATTAGAACCTATCTCTGTATTCTAGAAAGTCGTGCCTGACATGCTTAACTAGTAATATAAGAAGCCTGATAAAGGCTTACAATATGCAAGTGGGTATCATTTGAACCCATTGTCATGCCTTCTTAATGTTCATTTATCATCCTTCTACTCTTTCTTCTCAACTTTCTTTTCTTATTCATTGGTTGAAGTGGCAATGTCCTCTCTCCCCTACTTTCCTATTTTTCTTCTTCACCTCCAACTTCTTCATATTCTTCAAAATCCCCATGTATTTTCCATCTCTACTAGTCCACTCCACATTTCTCTTTTCAACAGTAACTTCCTTAGAAGACCAATGTTGATAAATGCAATTGGAGACTATTCACATAAACGTCATCTATGGCTAATATTTTTTACACCTCAAACGGTACTAAAAAATAACAAATAAAAAATGAGGACATGTCAGTAAAGACAAATCAGGTGATCCATCACCAAGTTCTTCGCTCAAAGCACGGAACAGAAGGAACCAAAGTCTCAGAACTCAAGCCAAAGCTATGAAAGGACCCTGAATGACGCCTACAAATGTCCCTAAATATTGAGGGTATTTTAAATATTTATTTGGATCAAAATCACGCCGCGTGTCGAAATCCCCAAATAAATATTTAAAATTTCTTACAAAAATACAGCAAAATGGGGAAGAATTAAATATCTTCCATAAACTAAATGTGCGATCAGCATAAAATATAATTTAAGCAAGACACAATCCACACTAGAGGCAGCAAAGTCCCACTAGCTGATGAATCTGTAAAGTTCTAATAAATTCTAGACAATGCTTGCAATTATACAACATAAATATTACATCTATGCATGATTACTGCAAAGAAATATGTTGAGCTGGTATGAATGGCTTAGAAACTAAAGTGACGGTGGTAGAATGGAATAAGAGATGCTAAAATCTATTAACGCTGACCTGTAAAAAAATCCATGAAGACAGAAAACTAGCGAGACATCCATACAAGCTCTTGAAGATCCGCTAAATGAAAACCCCAACATGACATTCATACAAGCTCTTGGAGATACACTTGATGAAAGCTATAGTGTGACATCTAAAAAAAATATTTGGAGATCCACAGGGTCAATCAGCATTTAACAAATGTGGTTCGCTTTAGATGCGTATCCCATTTGTTACAGGGCATTTGTTGACCTGTATGCTCCACGCATGAGAAACAAAGAAAAAAATCTCAAAGCTCGTACATGTTCGACGCACGAACTCCGGACATCTAGCTACGAGCATCTCTGGTCAACGATAAGCTTTGCAATGCTTTTGCATGTCCTCCGCATCCCGTCTAGATCATGTTAACATGATGAGACACATATAGAACCTTATTCGCCTCTTCTTCCCCCTCTCGCATTGGTCTCCCATTCCGACTAGGTCGAACTCCCAAATCTGACTCTTCCCATTGTCCAATTCACAAGCTATCTGACTTCTAATCTCCAGCTGACCACAAGCCCTTCTTCTGTGCCGACGCCAACCTCTAGACCCTGTAATACTTGGTCGAACTCGCCTTGATCCAACCAAACCACATGCCAACCCCGACTACACACCTCCTTTCATTGTTCTTCTGTTGGATCAAAAATCGACAACAGAAGCTTGATGGATGCGAAGGTAGCCATCTTTTCTTCCTTGTGTGCGCTTCTTCTGTTAGATCCCTAGGGCAAAAAAAAGAGCAGGTGGGCGGGCAGGGGGGTTGGTGGGGGCAACGGAGGATTTAACTAGCCTGTGAGATATAACTGATCCCTTAATCCTGTATAGCTAAATCCAGCTCAATCGTGTTTAAATCCAGTTTAAATCTTGTCGTCAAACAGCCCATTGCAAAAGAGGGAAACAAAGGATGTAAATTGCTGTGAGATTAAAAGTTCCCTAAATCCTGTTTAATGGGATTTAGCATAAATCCTGTTTAATGGGATTTAGCATAAATCCTGAAGCAAATCCTACATAAATCCTGATGCAAGTCCTACATAAATCCTGATGCAAATCGTGCTCAAATCCAGCATAAATCTCTTTTTAAATTTAGGATAACTATAATTAATTATAACAAATTTTAATTAAATATGATTAATAATTTTTAATCATAATTAATTGTAGTTAATTATGATTAACCAACATTAATTATAATTAACTATGATAATTTTTTTAATTAATTATTATTGATTATATTTAACTATAATTAATTAATAAAAGAAAGAAAAGAGAAAGAAAGAAATACTTCTCTCACCTTGATTTGTGTGCCGACATTGCCGTCGTCACCCCGACACAGCCGACGACAATGCCGATGACCCCTACACAGGTATAAAAGTTCAAATCCTATCATCGGCGCTTGCAGTGCGACAAGCAACTACCCATACAAACTTTTCTTAACACGGTGGGAGGGGAGGAAGCAAGTCACAGTGCTTGCGACGAGGCAGGTAATCCTCGTGAGTGCTTTTCTTAGCACGACGGGGAAATAATTTAACAACTTTTCATTTCAAAATAGGTACCCATGAAGACTCATGCACGCCTCCTATCTTGGCATGCTGGGATTGAAGACTACGGCCGTGGTGTTATCAGACACCGATCGTGCACGTCTTTTTTGACGTGGCGGAAAGGCTATGACTCCCTAAATTTTTTTCCAAACAGGGTATATGCCCGGATGCTGTCGAAATTCAAACTGAAATGCACAGAATATGAACAATAAGAAGACTTAACTTGAGCAACAATACAAATGACCTGTACTTGAACAGAATTGCACAAAACTTGGACAAATACAACAACCTAGCATTAACACAATTTCTTAAAGGATTCATGT